GGCACCGAGTGTGAGCTCTTTCAAGACCAGACTTGACCAGTACTGGAGCAGGTTCAGATACATTCAGGAGCCAAACATACCCAGTACTTGCCAACAGTGCGTAACAGAAACGTGACCGATCGCCTAAACGCCTAATTGGCCGATCAGTGGCGGAGTATAAAAGTAACACAGCTGTATTCAAGCCCCTGTAGAGCTTTTATTTTTAAAATATATTTATTTCACCAATTTTCTAGATAAAGTTTTCAGGATTATTTTGATAAAAAAGGTGGTATCTAACGAAATTAGAACTGAATTTACTGATTCTGGTATCAATATTTCTTATCTTTTTTTATATATCATATAGAAATATTTAGTTTAAGGATATCTTATTGGAAACGTTTCATGGAGAATTTATTTAGGATCATTATGGTATCAAATTCATCTCCCTAATACAATTAAGCCATGCTTGAGAGAGGAAGGGGGAGGGGGGGACTGACCACATGATCCTACCATGTGTGTCTGCGCACCATTCTTGCCAGAGTTTCTTTCTTAGGAAGAGTACCTGCAGCATCAAGTGGGTACTCACTGGTGCAGTTTTGTATAACAGTCAATGTCACTTCCTCCGACTGTCTGGCTCTTTCTTTAATTTTCTTTACTGTTTTCAAGGACAGGTTATGTCCGGCATCAGGCGGATGTGAGTGATTACTTGCTTCTCCTTGAATAACGTCTTCTTCTGTTTTTAATCGTCCCCAACAACTTCCTTTGCGTTCACATCGTCAATATATTACATTGTCTTTCCGTTTATCAACGATGTAGGCTTAGACGTCAAGCAAAAGCCTTCAATTCAATTTCAATTGTTTATTCCTTGATAGAGGAAGCGGGATCCTAGTGCTGTCACTAGGTACCCCTGTACAATAACACCAGAAGCATCTGGCAAGTGTGACAAGTATATGCAGTATAAATATTATAAAGGGGCTTACTAAAGCCTAAGGAAGGAAGGAAGGATATTCCTTTAACACATAATCAATGTTATTTATATAATATCTGGCCAGTATGGGGAGGATCATCGTGTCTCCGTCAGGGCGTCACGGAAGCGCTGTGTGTGGGACATCTTAGGAGGTAGTGGATAAGGGTGCAGCTGTCTGGTCTTCTGCATAATGCACAAGAGCGTTGCTCAGGGGATGCGGGGATACCAATCTCCCAAGCAAAGTCATACCCAGTGATGATACGGGCAGCAATCACGTCCCCCTTCCCATAGACATACGAGAGGTCAGGAAGTTTACGGAGGACATTGTACCAGGTGGGCGGTAAAAGCCTTCTTCCTCCTCTTGTCGTTGGTATGAATTCCATGCTCTTAAAAGAAACAAATATTAAATAAAGTAATAATAATAATAATAATGATAGTAATAACAATAATAATAACAACAACAACAATAAAAACCGACTTACCTTTACAACCTCTGAAGAGCGACTGCATCAGAGTCCAGGCAAGCTGGGCTAACGTTTGGTTGGTTTGGGGCGTGGCTAAAAAGTTCGAACAAGCATTCTTTCAAAAACTTGACCTGATTTAACATGACTAGTTACGTCGCCCTTTCTTTTGTGTTTGTGGTGGTGTTGGTGTCTGGATTAGCGGATGTCATGTTTTTGACCTGACCTCATGATTTGTAAGGTCACCCTGTGTACATAAGCCCCTCTCAGTCCTTGTAATTCACTAGTTAAATTGAAATTGGGGAAAATAATGCTGATTGTTAACGAATAATGCTGAAGGGACAAAAAGCAGCCAATTATACTCACTTTACACTAGCTTGGCCCAGAAGCCACGCCCTCATTTCTATAAGTGAGTTGATTGGTTCATATCAAATGTTCGTTAAGCGGTCTATTTATTCATACTAATGTGTTCACTATTTATTATCAGACCTGTTCTTCTCTATAATAATGTTAAAAATTACAAAAATAAAAATGCAAATGATTTTTAAGGCAATAGCACATCAAAGAGGATGTTAAAAATGTTAAAATATGTATAACGAACGGTCGAAGTCAAAGACAAAAGTTGCGTTTGGATGAAACCTATCTATTATTTCTTTGTTTTGTAGCAAACAAAGTAAACAAACAAATAACACCAAGCATAAAGCACAAAAGACAACTACCTACAGTTTATAAAGGCTAGATATATTGCAAATCATTAACTGAAAAAATTTATAAACATACGTGCAGTTCTTGGGGAGGTACACTCAGGGGAGCAGCCACAGGCGAACTGCAGAGTTGCTAACAACATTTTACACGAAGGCGGGGCAAATCTATCACAAGGAGCCCAAATTTTAGCATGGATTCTTGAAAGTTTTTGCTTTATATAGTGGCCAGTCTATATTGTTATTTTTCCCATTAGTTTATGTATTTGCATTTTGCGAATTTGAATTTGGCACAAAATTTCCAGTCTATATTACTCGCGAAATACAAGACCTTACTGTACAATATTATTTATTAAGAGATGATAAATACACTACAATATTGTTTATTAAGAGATGATAAATACACTACAATATTATTTATTAAGAGATGATAAATACACTACAATATTATTTATTAAGAGATGATAAATACACTACAATATTATTTATTAAGAGATGATAAATACACTACAATAAACAATTCATGGTGTTGAGTGTGGGATTCTTCTTTCAGGAAAGTTAATTATTTTATGATAGTATTTTATCAACCTGGTACCAAATGAACCTAATTGATATGAGAATTATGGTGAAATCTCATAAAGACATGTTAAGGGGATGTTGGGAGAGGGAGCCACCCCCCCCCAACTGCTGCTCCCAGATCACTCTTGTCTCCTACTCACTCAATATACTCCTATCTTCTTTTTTTTATCTTTATATAGTACTATACAGTGCAGTGTTCAGTTTTCTCTTTATTCATAAGACAAATTCTGTGGTTACTTACATATAACACTTTACAATATTGTACATATCGATCATCTTGGTGAAAACAGTTGTCGGTAACCAGACTTATGTCTGATTTTTAACCCAGACAGTTCTGTTTCATATTTTTTATTTATTGTTGACGTAGTAGTGTTTTAATAACTTTGTTATGCACTTGAAGACCTTAGTTGTTGAAGTGCAGTAATAACATAATAATTGTACAGTTCCAGAAAAGCAGTGTTACCTTCCCCTCCCCCTCCATAGATTTGCTATTTTTGGATTTCCACATTTTTGGACTGGGGTCAACCCAAATTAGTCTTCTGTATAGTGCTATAAATTGTTAGTAAAGGCTAACAGACTGTGTCACATTTACTAGACAAAGATGCAGAATGGGGGTAAGGGTATAATAAGGCTTGGGTGATGGGTCACACGTGTCACCGGTTTTGAAGTTTACATGGCGACTGTTGAACCATGTACAGCAGGGGTGGTGAAACTTTTGAGGTGGAGGGCCAGATTTATTTTATAAGAGTTCTTCAGAGACTACCTATTATTTTCAGTGTTAATAATAATCTATGCAGATTTAATGGGTATGACCATGTGATAGCTAATTTGGTATAACACCAATTGTTTTAATTAAGTTCTGGAACTCTTAAGTGACAGGGCTTGATGTAAACACTTCTTGGCCTTTTCTGTTTATTAAGTAGCAGGTATATACATAGATATAATCTGAGAGAATAAATTATGAATTCTCTCCAGGGAAGTGTTGTTAATAGCACTTTGAAATATGAAGTGAACTGCTCCTCTCTGGGCCGTGAGAGAGTGGTAGCGAGCGAGCAGTGTTTACTGAATCAGCTGACCCTGGCTTGACCTTTGAGAGAGATGCAAGCCAAGTGATCTAGAGTCGTGAATAACATGTTATTCATTTGAGTGAATATTTATATAAAGCAAAGGTGCTGTTACACCCACTACCCTCCAACATCATCCCAATGTGGCTCTGCTATTATAAATTAGTCTTATTGCTGTAGACATATTATGACAAGCATAAGTGGTGAAGGAGCTAAGCCTGTCAGCTGTTTGTCCTTTGTAAAAAAACAATTCATGGTGTTGAGTGTGGGATTCTTTTTGCAGGAAAGTTGATTATTTTATTATAGTATATTTTATTATAGTATTTTATCAACCTGGTACTAAATGAACCCAATATCCTCTAAATTTCATCCAAATCTGCCAATAAATTCTGTTCCCCTGAGTCTCTCCTTAAAAAATAAAAAATAACCCCACTGAACTCGAGTATGGTCGCTGGTCACCCTGAGACCCTCGGCAGGCCAAAAATGGTCTGGCGGCCAGTTTCCTCCCTCTTAGTATGCAGTGTAAGAAATCCACACCATGTATAAATAATAAAGGATCACAATTATTTGACTACAGGGGGTCCTCGACTTATGATTGCTCGCCAATATGAACAGAGTTAAACCTGAAATTTACAGTTTTATTTACCTGATGACTTATTTTTTTTTACTTTCAATAACTGTATTTTGGTACTATTTCTTTTGTCTTAAATTAAGTGATTTTAGATGTATATAAGGACTTAGGTTATGATATACTGTAGTGGGATTTTAAACATTGTTCTGTAAGTACGGTATGCACATAACATGTGCTCCGACTTACGGGAACAGAACCCATTCGTAACCCTGGGACCACTTGTATTTATAAGTGAAACTGCAGAAAATAACCATGCAAAATAAGGGCACCTTAACTTGTGTCTTGTGTCTACTAGAAGCGTCCATACAAGTGACTCCTTCAGTAGAACTGACCATACATTGCATTTCAGCAGCATTTTTTCTCAAATTGAAATTATTGATGTAATAGTAGAATCTGTTTTAGTTTGACCTATTTTTATTTAATTTCTTTTGGTGATTCTACCTCTTATGGTTGAAACATTATGACTTTAAAAAATGTAACTCCCCAAACCAGATGCAAGATGATCATGCACCTGTAAGTTGGCTTAGTTTTAAATACAGTATTAATATGAAAACATTTTTGTTCTGTTCCAGTAAATTTCTTCTTGTGATTTCTAACATATTGTAACTTTTACATTAGGTATGTGAAGTGTATAGGCTACACCGTGAGACCTACTACCTGGCCACAGACTTTATTGACCGATACCTGACTGCCTCACAAGATGTTCCCAAACAGCAACTCCAGCTTATAGGTTTGTATTATTTTGTCTATTTGTTGGGTTATCTCAAGACATTATGGGTGGATGACAATACATTGCATAAACATATTACAAATTAAGAATTATAATGCAAATAATTAGTTAAGCATTTTAAAATTATGAATTGTTTTTGAAAAAATGGAAAATAATTAATGAATATAAACTTGCTTATGATGATGCACAATTACAATGAGACCCCATGATAGATGTGACTTCCCTGACCTTGACAATGTATCCACATATCCTCAACAGATCCACTTCATTTCCACTACACATCCATTTTATTTTAACGGGGATTAACCCACCCAGGTACAGGTCACCGACCCACATCAGGGCCTAGGGGGTGGAAAAAAATTTGTACCAAAAATAAATACAGTATAGAAATGGAAAAATTAAACAAATCAAGAATAAGAAATTATAAATATGTTGTGTTGTTAAATTAAGAGAAACAACTGAAACCCTGCAATTGAGTGTACATGAGGCAGAAAGTCAATTCAACAACCTGGGAGTTGGTCACAATATTTGTGATGCCATATGGCAGCAGGGTCTACCATTAGACAACACATTATGCTTCCTATATCTTCCCAGGTGGTATTACTTCCCTGCTTGATAGCTGCCTACTGCCTTATTATTTATATTTATGTGGGTGTGTAGTGGAGATAATGTGAATGTGTACTGGAGATGATGGGAATGTTCAGTGGAGATGATGTAGATATAGTGGAGGTGATGTGAAGTGGAGATGATGTAGATATAGTGGAGGTGATGTGAAGTGGAGATGATGTAGATATAGTAGAGGTGATGTGAAGTGGAGATGATGTGGATATAGTGGAGGTGATGTGAAGTGGAGATGATGTAGATATAGTGGAGGTGATGTGAAGTGGAGATGATGTGGATATAGTGGAGGTGATGTGAAGTGGAGATGATGTGGATATAGTGGAGGTGATGTGAAGTGGAGATGATGTAGATATAGTAGAGGTGATGTGAAGTGGAGATGATGTGGATATAGTGGAGGTGATGTGAAGTGGAGATGATGTAGATATAGTAGAGATGTGAAGTGATGGATGTGATGTGAAGTGGAGATGATGAGAGGTGATGTGAAGTGGAGATGAGATATAGTAGAGGTGATGTGAAGTGGAGATGATGTATAGTGGAGGTGATGTGAAGTGGAGATGATGGATATAGTGGAGGTGATGATGAAGTGGAGATGATGGGATATAGTGGAGGTGATGTGAAGTGGAGATGATGTAGATATAGTGGAGGTGATGTGAAGTGGAGATGATGTGATATAGTGTGATGTGAAGTGGAGATGGAATAGTGGAGGTGATGAAGTGGAGATGATGTGATATAGAGGTGATGTAGTGAGATGATGTGATATGTGGAATGTGAAGTGAGATGATGTAGATATAATGGAGGTGATGTGAAGTGGAGATGATGTGGATATAGTGGAGGTGATGTGAAGTGGAGATGATGTAGATATAGTGGAGGTGATGAAGTGGAGATGATGTGGATATAGTGGAGGTGATGTGAAGTGGAGATGATGTGGATATAGTGGAGGTGATGTGAAGTGGAGATGATGTAGATATAGTGGAGGTGACGTGAAGTGGAGATGATGTGGATATAGGGAGGTGATGTGGATGTGTAGTGGAGGTGATGTGAAGTGGAGATGATATAGATATAGTGGAGGTGATGAAGTGAGGTGATGTGAAGTGGAGATGAGATATAGTGGAGATGATGTAGATATAGTGGTTGATGTGATGTGATGTGATGTGTAGTGGAGATGATGTAGTGGAGATGATGTGGATGTGTAATGGAGATGATGTGGATGTTTAGTGGAGATGATGTGGATGTTTAGTGGAGATGATGTGGATGTTTAGTGGAGATGATGTGTCTGTATAGTGGAGATGTGTAGATGTTTATTGGAGATGATGTGGATGTATAGTGGAAATGATGTGGATGTGTAGTGGAGATGATGTAGATGTTTAGTGGAGATGATGTGGATGTATAGTGGAGATGATGTGGAAGTTTAGTGGAGATGATGTAGATGTTTAGTGGAGATGATGTGGATGTTTAGTGGAGATGATGTAGATGTTTAGTGGAGATGATGTGGATGTATAGTGGAGATGATGTGGATGTATAGTGGAGATGATGTGGCTGTGTAGTAGAGATGATGTAGATGTTTAGCAGAAATGATGTGGATGTTTAGTGGAGATGATGTGGATGTTTAGTGGAGATGTTGTAGATGTTTAGTGGAGATGATGTGGATGTTTAGTGGAGATGATGTGGATGTTTAGTGGAGATGATGTGGATGTTTAGTGGAGATGATGTAGATGTTTAGTGGAGATGATGTGGATGTTTAGTGGAGATGATGTGGATGTTTAGTGGAGGTGATGTAGATGTTTAGTGGAGATGATGTGGATGTTTAGTGGAGATGATGTGGATGTTTAGTGGAGATGATGTAGATGTTTAGTGGCGATAATGTGGATGTTTAGTGGAGATGATGTGGATGTTTAGTGGAGATGATGTAAATGTTTAGTGGAGATGATGTGGATGTTTAGTGGAGATGATGTGGATGTTTAGTGGAGATAATGTGGATGTTTAGTGGAGAAGATGTGGATGTCTAGTGCAGATGATGTGGATGTGTAGTGATGTGGACGTTTATTGGATGTGGAGGTGTTATGTATGATTAGTGGAGATGGTGTGGATGTCTAGTGCAGATGATATGGATGTGTAGTGATGTGGATGTTTATTGGATGTGTAGTGGAGATTATATGGATGTTTAGTGGATATGTAAATGTTTAGTGCAGATGATGTGGATGTTTACTGGACATAATGTGGATGTTTAGTGGATATGTACTGGAGATGTGGATGTGTAGTGGAGATAATGTTGATATTTAGTGAAGATGATGTGGATATTTAGTAGAGATGTGGATGTTTAGTAGAGATGATGTGGATGTTTACTTTGTTCAGTGACGATGTGGATATGTAGTGGAGATGTGGATGTTAAGTAGAGATAATGTGGATCTTTACTTTGTTTATTGGAGATGATGTGGATGTGTAGTGGAGATAATGTGGATGTTTAGTGGAGACAATGGAAATGTAGATGTTTAGTGGAAATGATGTGGATGTTTACTTTGCTCAGTGTTGATATGTATGTTTAGTGGAGATGGTGTGGATTTGTAGTGGAGGCTTATATTGTTACCTCAGCATTATAGGGACAATGACATTGTTACCTGTTTCTTTTGGTGAATTTATTGTATGCATTAATCATATTTTGTTGTACTTGTGGTACTGTACTTCTTGGTGTAATGAATGTCCATGAATTTATATTTATCTCGATTTTTCAGGTATAACATGTTTATTCATAGCAGCAAAAATAGAAGAAATTTACCCACCAAAGCTGTCAGAATTTGCTTATGTGACTGATGGTGCATGCATGGATAATGAAATTCTAGAAAAGGAGCTAGTCATATTAAAGGTATGTTCACATTCAGTAGCTGGCCAAGGTTCCTTGTGTGCAGGTAAGAATTGACTGCTCTGCAAGTTTCATTATCTTTCACCTTTTTAATTCTCTCTTTTTTTTCATCTTGTCACTGTAGTTATAAACATTTTAGGTCAGATGTTTTTAAATCGAGTAATTTAAAGTTGATATAAAGAGCATTTTAACACATTCAAAGCATTGTAAATGTTGTAAATGCATATTTTCATAGAAATTCATATTTCAATTCCAACTTTCCTAATACAGTAATTCAGTTTATGACATTATAGAATCTAATCTCATTAAACATACCAAATCTGTCAACATGAATTTCAGTAATGGCATGTACAAATTGGATAATTTGGTACATGCCATTACTCAAATTCATGTAGACAGATTTGGTATGTTTAATGAGACTAGATTCTATAATGTTCCTTCTGACAATTGAATTACAAGGTAATATTGGGGAGGCATTATCCCGGTCAATGCAGTGCTTATTATCACTCATATGAATGAACAAGGTATTAGATTCCTGGCCTGTCCTAACACTTATATTTATGCTGTTTAAGTCCAGTTATAAGATCTTTTCCCATCTGGCCTAAGTAAAACATACAGTGATATTCCCGTTAGTTGGAACAATTGGTGCAGAGCACTTCTGGGGACGAGAGATTTCCGGCTAACCAGGCGACTTTCTCAAACCCATAAAAATCCCCCATTTCCGGAAATATTTCGGGTTACAGCTAGACCCCGACTTACGACTACGTGGACTTACGACCGTCGGGACTTACGACCGCCGCAGATTTTTTATTAATTTAATTTTTTTTTTTTTTTTATCAAATGACACGCATTTTCTATACCGAAACGTTTCCAGTTAATGTAGTCTCCATGTATAATTAGAAAATTATGGGGGCCCCATGTGCATTCAGCTGACTACATTAAAGGTAAGTGCTCAGTCACACTGCATCCATTCCTTATTATTTATTACTTTCACTGTACTGTATCCATTCCTCATTATTCATTACTTTTACTGTAGTGTATTTCATTGTAGATTTTTTATTAAAAAAAAATATATATATATATTTTTTTTATCTATGTCGGACTTATGACCTGGATTTGGGTCCCTAATCCCGTCGTAAGTCGGGGTCTAGCTGTACTGGAAATACGAGTGTCTAAACTGTGCATCTTGCACAGACAAACACTAGCCCACATCCTCATAATGTTTGTGTGTGCTGGGGAGTTTTCTAAGAGTCTAAACTACTGGAGTATGTAAAAGCAGTTCTAATTAAGTTAGAAAGTCCATTTGTTAACTAAAATAATCCAGAATACTGTAGTTTATCTTAAAGTTTGGTTAAATAAATGTATTTAAAAACTAAAAATCTATATGATATGGTTGTGAATGAAGCTGTGTGTTACAGCAAAGACTGGTATTTTCCACTACCATGGAGCTGTGGAGGATTAGTGAGTCTCATGTACCTGACCTGACCTGACACAATGTCAGGTGGAGGTAGGATGGGGTACTAGTGGTCTCATATTACTGACCTTATGATACAATGTCATCACCCACTGTTGGATGGGGGATTAGTGGGTCTTAGGACCTGAAGATGTCTTGAATAAACATGAAAGCTAAAATACAGTATTTTTTATACTTACACTTATCACAATACATTACATAATATTTTAAAATATGGTGTGAGAAAGCAGAAAGGTGTGGGTGTTTAGAGAGATGGAGTGGAAAGGAGTGATAACATGCACCAGTGTTGCCAAGTGATAAGCTCCTCATCAGCTGATCTTTTAATTTAACACCATGTAGTTTACCATGCATAAATTTATGTCACACAATATGGGAGTGTGTTAGGGTGTCTGGGTGTGATGTTGTGGTATTAAATAATAAATAAGTAATATTGTATCGTCAGTGACAGTCGTTTAATGAATTGTAGCGTACTACAATTGTCACTACTATTCATCAAACTACAATCAGTCCTCAACTGACACCACTCACATACCCCTAACAAGGGAGTTAAGACAGCAGACATAAGGAGTGAAGGTCTTATTGTATATCGCACATAAGTGTGTGTGTGACTGTGTGGTAGCGAGTTAATTATCAGCTGTTGAGGAGCTCTTGGCAACACTCATTTCCACTCCATCTCTCTAACCACCCACACCTTTCTGCTTTCTCACTCCATATTTTAAAATGTTATGTAATGTAATGTTGAAGGGATACAACTTTGCTCATTTATACTTAATACTTATCACAATCTCTCTAAAAATATTTTAGATTTTGTGTTTATTCAAGACCTCTTCAGGTCATGAGACCCACTAATCCTCCAGCCAAGAAAGGGTGACCTGAAATTCCATCAGAAGGCCAGTAATATGCAACCAATAATCCCCCACCCTACCTCCACCTGACATTACTTTAGGTCAGGTACATGAGACCCACTAATCCCCCACAGCTCCATGGTAGTGGAAAATACCAGTCTTTGCTGTAACACACAGCTTCATTCACTCCCATATTATAAATATTTAAAAAAAATTCAAATACAGCTAGACCCCGACTTACGACGGGGTTAGGGACCCAAATCCAGGTCGTAAGTCCGACAGATAAAAAAAAAATAGATAATTTTTTTTTTTTTTTAATAAAAAATCTACAATGAAATACAGTACAGTAAAAGTAATGAATAATGAGGAATGGATACAGTACAGTGAAAGTAATAAATAATAAGGAATGGATGCAGTGTGACTGAGCACTTAACCTTTAATGTAGTCAGCTGAATGCACATGGGGCCCCCATAATTTTCTGATTATACATGGAGACTACATTAACTGGAAACGTTTTGGTATAGAAAATGCGTGTGTCATCTGAAAAAAAAAAAAAAAAAAAATTAATAAAAAATCTGCGGCGGTCATAAGTCCCGACGGTCGTAAGTCCACGTAGTCGTAAGTCGGGGTCTAGCTGTATATTAATTTTACTAAACTTTTAGATAAACTACAGCTCCTCCCCGACTTATGAAGGGGTTAGGGACCCAAATCCAGGTCGTAAGTCGAAATGGTTGTAAGACGAAAATGCTTAAAATATACATATAAAATCTAAAATGGGTGTCTCTTTTTCTTCTCAGCACCAAAAAACTCACTTTTAAGCTTATCAGCCATTTTAAAGTGAATTACAAACGAAAATTTTCTCTGTGTACTGACGTTGGCACTCAAAACGCAATTTGACAAAATTTTGGTACAACTGAGGTAGGTCGTAAGTGCGAGTGGTCGTAAGTCGAGTAGGTAGTAGGAGCTGTATTCTGGATTATTATAGTAAAGAATTGGAGTGTCTAACTTAATTAGAACAGCATTTACTGATTCCGGGGTAGTTTAGACTCGAGGAAAACATCCTCAGCACCCAGAAACATTCTGGGGAAGTGGGCCAGTGTCTGTGTGTGCAAGATGTCTAGTTTAAACACTAGGAAACTTTTTGCAGTAGCCGGAAAAGATTCCGGAGATAAGGAATTTTTCCGGGTTTGAGAAAGTCGTCTGGGGATAAAAGTGACCGCGACATACCACCCCCCCCCTCCCCCAAACGACTAATTCACCGTGTGTGTGTGTGTAACAATAATAATAATAATAATTAACGGTTTATTAAGAAAACATGGCAGCCCAAAGGCTGAAAATATACAATGAACAGAGATGATAAGTTACATATTGTGATATCGGGGAGTGGGTCACTTGATTGACAAAAGCTTTCAATAAAGAAACTTAAGAAACATAAGAGTCAACATATAGATTAACTTTAGATCTGGTACTGTGGGAGCTGGTCTGTAGACATTCTTGTGACCTGATGTCGGCGCCAACAGAGTCCTTCCAACTGTCTTGATGGCTTGATTTTCTCCCCCAACTCGATGACTTCCTTCACATAACCATGGCTTGGTCCAGGTAGCCATTGTGAGGGGAATAGCGGGCACAAGAGAGAATAGTATACGCGGAGAACTGAGAACAATGAGTCTGGCCCGGCTAGGTCAGCGACTTTTTCCCTCTGGTGGCAGGGCACGTCATGTTACATTAGACCAATCACAGCTAGCGGCGGAGGGAGGTAAGGATGCGTGGCCCAATCACAGTCCGATACGTCATATGACGTCAGCGATAACGTAAGAGCGACCTAATGCGCACCCCCCAGGCGCCGCTTCCCGCGTAAATGATGCAATGAACCGCGTAACTTAAAATTTTCATTCTGGCAAGGTGCCGCATAAATGACCAAACGCGTAAACCAAATCCGCGTAAATGTAGACTATACTGTGTGTGTGTGTGTGTGTGTGTGTGTATATATATATATATATATATATATATATATATATATATATATATATATATATATATATATATATATATATATATATATATATATATACACACACACACAGTGAGTTCCACTATAACGCGTGTTTTTACAATGCGAATTGGCTCCAACGCTATTTATGAATAGAAGAACGATATTTGTAAAACGCGAATGCTTGTTTGCTGTAACGCGATTTTTGCTTACTATATCTCCAATTTTGTGGTGTTAACTGTGAATATGGAAAAGAAGAATATCTCCAAGAAGCGTTTTGGTGATCGCATTCCCGGTGATGATCGTAAAAGAAAGGCTATAACACTTGAAGAGAAGCTCGATTTTATCAACCTCAAAATCACCCTTCTCCACTATCAAGTTATATTAATATTTTTTCAAGGTAAAGTGTTACTTTTACTGTATGATTTCATTATAGATATGAATGTAACATTTATTTAGACTGTGCTATCCTTTGTGTTAGGCTAACTACTAAATTTTTTCGATTTCGAGTAATCTGCACCTAACCCTATTTTCTCCATAAGCCCTGTTATTTCTATTGCGCGAATTTCTATAACAAGATGTTTTACAAGAACACAACTATCTTGTTATAGCAGAACTGACTGTACTCGACCTATGACCACCCGGACATACGACCGCCTCAGTCGTACCAAAATTTTATCAAGTTGCATATTTTCGAGTCCCAACGTTAGTGATTGCGCTGTGTACTGACAAAATTTTCGTTTGTAATTCACTTTAAAATGGCTGGCAAGCTTAAAAGTGAGAGTTTTGTGGTGCTGAGAAGAAAAAGAGACACCCATTTTAGATTTTCTATGTATTATTTAAGCATTTTCGACTTAGACCTGGATTTGGGTCCCTAACCCCGTCGTAAGTCGGAGAGCAGCTGTACATTAATCTACACCACAAAGATGCTGGAAAACCAGCTTTTTGAAGTGAGACAGATTGTAAGAGTATGGAAACAAAGAAGAAGGCAGAGCATTCCACAGTTTGGCTGTGTGGGGAAAGAAGGATGTACTATAACGGGTTATTGTAGAGTGACCGACATCCACACAGAAACGGTGGTCACTGCAGGCAAGACGAGTGTTACGAGCCCTCGGCCTTGCTGGCGGTACACAGGATGCCAATCCACCAAACCTTGCCTGTAAAAGAGAGAGAGAGTGAAGCAACTTTGCAGGTGAAGAGAAGGAGAAGAGAGATTATCAACTAATGGAGGAGAGTTTATAAGACAAAATTCCTTTGATTCCACCCTATCTAACAGTTGGACAGAAGAAGAACCACCCTAGATATGAGAGCCGTGCTCTAAGTTAGGTCGAATGAATCCCTTATAAACTTGAAGCAACTGCTCAGGAGTGAAGTAGCTATGGCATCTGTACAGCATTCCCAGCTTTTGAGAGGCAGCTTTAGCAATGTTGTGGATGTGTGGCTTCCATGACATATTAGGGGAAATGCTTACCGCAAATCGTCAAAATCACGAATCGCAAATATGTGAATGGCAAAGGTCTACTGTGGGATAACTTGTATCACATCATTTCAGTCACAGTGCCTATGACAATATCTTAGAATTTTCAGATCAGTTTATTGTTTCCTACTAGTGGTCATTTTCTTTTTATGAGTAATTTAAAAAAAAATAATATTATTCCATGCAATTAATTCCAATTAATATACTACCAAAAATAACAATTTGCAGTTCACCTTGTATAGTATATATTTGAATCTTTGCAGAAATTAAATTGGGACCTCTCCCCAATTACCTCCAACTGTTGGTTAAATACATACCTGCAGCTGGCACAGGATGTTGGTAGTAATGAAACAGCCACTGATGAGCACAGCTTTGTCTTCCCTCGGTATTCTCCACTCACTTTTGTGCAGGTGAGTGACAGTGATTTCTTGATGGTTCATTGGAGGAAAACTAGAAAATATTAGTGATTACTGTAGTCTGTTGTGTAGTTCCTTTGATATTATATAAAGGCTCTTTGAAGTGTCCATAATCTTATTTGTGTCTATATATCATATAGACACAACTAGTAGGTAGTAGGCAGCTATCAAACAGGGAAGTACTACTGGCTGGGAAGAGATAGGAAGCATATTGTGTTGTCTAATGGTAGACCCTGCTGCCATATGGCATCACGAAAATTGTGACCAAGTCCCAGGTTGCTCATCTGACTTTCTGCCTCATTTACATTTAATTGCAGGGTTTCAATTGTTTCTCTTACTTTGACAATACAACATACATGCAGTATATCGTTTCTTACTATCGTAGGGTCGGGTTATATCTCGAGATAGGGTCCAACATGTTCGCTATATCCTAAATCGCGATATATAATTACATGTAATCAGTGGGGGAAAATAGGGTTAGGTTCTGGAGGCCCCCAAAAAGTGACTACTCCTGACTTAACGAGTACATTTTCTTACTAACTAAAGCACCAATGAACAGTAGACTTGGGAACAACAGGCTATTTCAATGTCTGTATATAATATCAAGGAACACCAGACTTGGCAGCTGACGCACCATCCTGGGAACACCGGACTCGGACACTGCCACCCTCACTTGACAATCCCACACCTACATAAACAAACAACAAAAATATTAGTTACAGTATTAAACCTTTTCCATTAAGCTTTCCATTTTCTTCACTTCACTTTTCACGTCACTAGCAACCCATTTACACTCACTTTAGAAATTGTAATCTGCTGCAGAGTCGGCTGTATTCTCGTCACTCGTTCAGAAAGACTGAGTGGGCGAGCGTGAAAGAGCAGCCACATTGGCGCCTCTGGTGAGTAAATAACCCATTTGTCTGCCATGGCGGTACATTTGAAATATTTCCTGCCGCGATATAAAAAAATCGTTATATATAGTCGCGATATATCCCGACCCTACAGTATTGATCTTTTTTCATTTTTGTATTTATTATTATTATTATTATTATTATTATTATTATTATTATTATTATTATTATTATTATTATTATCATCATTATTATCATTATCATTATTATCATTATCATCAGTGTTGTTGTTGTTGTTATTGCTATTATTATTTTATTTTTTATTTTTCATTACTAATTTTATTTACTATGAAATTATTATTATTATTATTATTATTATTATTATTATTATTATTATTATTATTATTATTATTATTATTATTACATTTTTGGCCCCGATGTGGGTCAGTGACCTGTGCCCTGGTGGGCTAATCCCTGTAAAAAAATAAAAAATAATGAGTTTCTTGTGTATTGAATACAAGACTGGTGCTTGTTATCCAAAGGTTGATTAATTATTTATAAGTGATATGACATTTAAACAGCGATGGCTCCAGAATTTCTATATAGGAGGGGCTTAGGGGTGGCAATCTGGTTGGAAGAGGGGGCTAGGAGACTTGTTTCAAAGCTGCATTTGCAGAGCAAGCACACTACAGTAGGCTCTCGCCAATAACGACTTCCACAATAACGTTTTCGACAGTAACAGTAAGTTACAATAGATACCCATTTTCGATAATAACGTCTGGATTCTCTTGAATAACGGAAATTTCGCGGGAAGCGTCCGAGCGCATCAATGATAGCATTTGTTTGCTGCCATGTTGATGACGTAGTTGTCCACTCCACCTCACTCTCACTCACGCTCAGTGGAATACAGCGCTGCGCCCACGTATGAGATTTTCGCCACTATAACCAGTGGTTGTTAGGGTCGGTGATCAATAATGGCTTCTGCATTTTTGCCTGTGGGGGCTAAGGGAGGTGGTGGAGGGAGTGATTTGCCACCTGAATGACTGGGAACTTTTAAAGTGAGGAAATTGAACTGTCCTGAGTCTACAGTGCGAAATATTAAGAGGAACTTAGAGGAGACCAAGAAGAGTATTGTGCTGGCTAAAAATATTTCGGTAGTGATGGAAATGCAAGGCGAGCTATGAATGATAAAGGCGATAGAAACAGGTTGTTAGTGATAACAGAGCATTTTCTTGTGAAATGGTTAGCTTGTAGAATGAAAGACAGTGCAAGTGTTAGTGGCCCTCAGATATGGAACAATCGTCACACCAAGCACCTCAAAAACTAAGTGTTATATTACTCAAACTCTTTATTTTGATGATTGAATAGCAATTCTTTTTATTTCAGCTAACAAAAAGTGTTAGGAGGGCTTCAAGGGGAAAAAATGGGTGAAATTCTTGTGGCAGCGGCACCAATAAACCCTTTTTACATGTATTTTAATGTCACACAAATAACGTTTTCTCTAATAACGGTGTTTTTCAGGCACCTGTTAAACGTTATTGGTGAGAGCCTACTGTACTTTGAATGTATATTACATATCAATAAATATAGCAGTTTTCTGAAGATGCATTTATTCACACTTTACGTAAGATTGAGAAACCATGCAATTGTACATACAAAAGAATAAGAACAATAATTACATAATGAAATTATACATCAATATGCAAGCCATCAAAATAATGAATAAGAAATTTATTTGAAATATAAATGATAGAAATTTTAAGTAACTTATGTGCAGCATGAACATAATATATTCATTCTACTCTCAGCTGAAAGGCTCAGGGTAACTGAAAACAAAAGTTATAGCAGTGTGATTCTTCGGTTGTGGTTGGAAGCAAAAGCATCAATATTCTCTTCAACATTCAGACTCTTGGCTCTTTTCGAATTTGTAGATATAACTGCAATATCATTTTTTCTGCTATCACTACTGCTGTTCCTCAAGTAAGTTTTTGTCAGTCGCAGGCAGGTAAAACCGCGTTCACATGCTGCAGAATTAACTGGCAAAGTCACACTGATACACACCAGCTTATACAGATCTATGAAAGCATCACGGTATGGTTTGAGCAGAGTAGCAAATTCAAGTGGAGAAATGATAGTACGACCCTGTTGTTTTTTCTCTCAAGAAGATGTCGTACTTGATGAAGCTCAATATGTAAATTTTCCTCTTTGATGCCATAGTGAAATGCCATCTCCAGAATACAAGATATCTCTAGAAATGAAGCATCTTGAGGATTCAGTGCTGAGGAACCCTTTAGTATGCTTCATGAGTTGTTTGAAAATCGTTAGTTTAATTCGTTGACTAACTTGTCTATGACAGTCAGTCAACAGCAAACTCCTGTAAATGGCGTGACTGAGATCGGTGTCGCACTTTTTATTGTTGAACATCAATACCAGCTGCTTCACACAAATGAACTGCATCTTGCCAGATACCCTGTCATGAATTATCACAGTGTTTATCCTAATGGTCAGAAAGGACTGACTTAACAAGATCCATAGCAGAAGCCAGCTGGAGGTGAGGGGACTGAAGGTGGTCAGACTGACTAAGTGATTTACAGTAAAGTCTTCATCATTGTAAGACTGATTACGAATGACATATCAATGAGACTGTATTGGGCCCTTGCTTCTGTTACCCTATGTGCATTTGAAGTTTTCATTATGTCCAAAGGGCTGCACAGATTGCTGGCAATGATATTTGACAGCAGAACAAGCCTTGTCCTGGCAGGACCATCTTGTGTCTGATAGCCTCTTTAAATTATTGATGTTTTGAAGAGTCGAGCTCTCTCTGTTTCTTCATATACATGTTGTGCACAACTGTGCTAGAAAAAAGTTGCACAACATCTGGATTGCTTGTGGTGGAAGAATTCTGTTCTGTGGCGGAATTGCAAGGTATGATAAATTTCTTTGGAAGGCTATTCCAAAAAAGCTCATTATTATCATTTGGGGTGGCTTTTGGTGGGGGGGCTGATGGATATTACGGGGAGGCTGCAGCCCCCAAAGCCACCTCTTGGCGCCGCCACTGCATTTAAACATTAATTTGTACAGGATTCCTCTTACTTTCACTTGAGGTTGCTTCAGTGAATATGGTGATTCCATAATAATATGAGTCATTACATTCCCAGCTATGTTGTAGTCATCCTTTTGATGAATTTGTTGGGTTGTTAAGTCTTTGTGATCTAGGATGTAATGTATTAAGGACAGGTATACCCTGAAAACCGACGTCCCATTAACTGCTGATTTGCATAGCCGACGATTAGATATCGGGGAAATACTCCGCAAGTTTCGGTGATGCCCCGAAGATCCAATGATTGAGGAGGAGTGGTAGAACTGTTTTGAATTTGGCGGGCAGTAGTGTGTACAAATTCTTGCTACGAGAGGGCTCTGCATGCTGCCTCTGACTCATTCCCACCTCTACACTTGTTTACACTTACCGGATAACCATGTGTCTCCAACTTTGTGTTTGTTCGTTGTTTATGACTTCGTGTGTTATGCGATCATGCCTAAACGCCCCAGTGGTAGCTTCAGGGGCAGCTTGATGTGATGTGATAAGTTATGATAAGAGTGGTGATGGACCAGCAAAGATTGGTAGAGACTTGAATTTTTCGTTAATTCTGACTTGGTGTGTTATGCAATCATGGCTAAACACCCTAGTGATAGTTCCCCTTGGAGGGACAGCTTGATGTGATGTAATAAGGCAAAATAAGAATGGTAATGGCTCAGCATATATTGGTGGAGACTTGGACTTGCCACCCTAGACTGTCTCTGCCATCCTCAACACAGGTAAATAAGTCTCAATTTATGCTTTATAATCCTTATTTAATGCTTATTATGCTTGCTTTATGTGTCTGCTTTCTTTTCTTGCTTGACAGTGTGCACGACAGAAATATATCAAGGGTAGAAGGGAGTTTTTGGAGGGTGGCTGGCTGGCCCCTAACCCCCTAAATTTGTTATGTTCTTATGGAATTAATTGTTTTGATAACAATTTATTCACTAACCAATGACTTCACAGTCCCTATATGCTCCGGTTATCAGAGTATGTCTGTATTGTAATCAAAACTCCCTGCAACCCACCCACCCACCCCTACGACCCACCCACCCATCCCTACA